CCACCACCACCGCCACCACCACCACAATGCCCACCACCACCAGCATGCCCACCACCACCGGCACCTGTATGTCCACCACCTCGACCACGTTGTCCTAAACCATCTTGCGTTCCGTTCGTTTCCGCGTGTGAGGTAAGTATCTGAAAGCAGAATAGAAGAACTGTTAAAACCGAGAAATTTAACAAGCCTTATAAATCTTGATAAATTTCTTTTTACAGCAACAGACGCCTGCACTTTCTTCCAATCATGATTGCTGTCATGCTTGTGATGAAGCTTCAGACTGCTCGATGGAAGTAGGTAACGTAGGCATGAGCTTCGACAGTGCTAGAAAAATGAAACGGCATATGCATAAGTCTTCAAGAGTTTCCAAGCGTGACGTAGATGGAAATGTTGATTTAACGTGCAACAGTGAGAAACTCAAAGCACTTATGGTTAAAGTGCGTTTTTCTTAGTTAAACAGAAACGTTATCAAAGAAGACGTCTTTTGTGATTTACGAATAAAAAATAGTACAAAAAACTATATGAAAATGTTTATTACTAGAAACGATGAAAATTAATTTCGCCATTTTTTTTTCAGTTTATTAACAAGAGTAGTTCGGAGTCAAAACGTGATATCCAGAAAGCAGCCGAAATGGAATTTAATACTAAATTCAACGTGATATGTTCGGAAGCTTCATTCTCTTATGTGGCTCACACCAATGTTTATTGTCAGACATCGAATGCGAATGTCACGTGCTATGCTTTCCAAGCAAACTAAATTTCCAGTAATTTAGGAGATACCTCAGTTTCCTTAACTCAAATCTCATCGTTATTTTTCTGTAAAATTATTCTCTGATGTTGTTTAAAAAAAAAGAAAACTTAAGATTATTAAAAAAAATTTTTTTGTTTATTTTAACTTTCAATTATATTTTGAAGTTGACATAAAAAACTAAAAAAGGTGCATACATTCAAAGAGAAAAAAAATAGCCAAAAAAAGATCACTAGTTATTCGCAGTTATTGTCACATGTAATGTAGGCAGTTATGACTGTATAGGAAGCTATTTTAAACAATAAATTATTAACGTACTTTTACTGCCTTATACTGCTACTGCTGCTAATACTGGTTTAATTTTTGTAAATTTTCGTTTACTACTCGTTTTCTACTTTTTTTTT